GACAGGTTTGACTGGTGTCAGATGCTGTGTAGAACTGGTCTGACTGGTCGCTGTTACTGGGAGGTCGAGTGGAGAGGAGAGGTTCATACATCAGTGAGTTACAGAGGAATCAGAAGGAGAGGAGACTTTAATGACTGTTGGTTTGGACTTAATGATCAGTCCTGGAGTCTGACCTGCTCTTATGGTGGTTTCTCTGTCAGTCACAACAACAGAAAAACATTCATCAGGTGTTCAGTCTCCAACAGAGTATCAGTTTATGTGGACTGTCCTGCTGGAACTCTGTCCTTCTACAGAGTCTCCTCTGACTCTCTGATCCACCTCCACACCTTCAACACCACATTCACTGAACCTCTGTATCCTGGATTTGGGTTCTTGTCATTTGGTTCCTCAGTGTTTCTGTGTTGAGTTCAGTATCCAGAGTCTCCTCCTGGTAGAGAAACAGTTTCCCTGTTGAACAGATGGTTCAGTCTCTACATGTCTCTGTCACTCAGAAACATGTTTTAGATTCAAGGTTTTAACAAAACATTAAACTATGACATTATTTTACAGCAAACTATCCTGTCAGCTTTCAGTAAGATGATATAATAAACTGTAACATGACGTCTGTAGTAAAATCTTTACAGCATCCTGATCTTTTATAGTATTTGTCCTGAGAATATGATATAATATGACATTTTAAACACATAATACTGATGTTTTTGTTTTTTACAACATAACTTCATGACATTTTTTATAGTTTTTTTTTTTTTTGAGGTCCTGCTGAGAAAATGTCTTTTCATCTCATGGAAGCTTTTGTCTGTAAAGAAAGAAACGTTTCTTCAATTGTATGAAAATGTACCAATAATTAAACTGTACAGAACTATATATAACTGACCAGTGGAATGAATTCCTCAGTTTTCTGTTCAATACAAAAGTGTGTTTTGCTTGTGTTTTTCCTTCGAGAATCTGGATGAACTTTATTACTTTCCATCTTATAAACAATAATAAACTGATCAACAACCAGCAAGGTCTTCACTCATAAAACACTAAACTTTTAAAACACTATAAAATGCAACACAAAGTCCTTTACAGATAATCAAAAAAAAAAATTCCAGTAAAAAAGTACAAACAATCCTCACATTGTCCCATCAAACACGTGATAAGGAAACACCAGATGAGATAAAATGAAATAAAACAAGGCACAAAAATAGCTAGAATACAATAAATCAAATAAAATATCTATTATTTAAATAGGGATAGATGGAGATAGACTCAAAGACAACACAAACAAAAACAAAGAGAAAAAGAAATGATAAAATTTAAGAATTAAACTACATTAAATATTCTTAACGGGCGCTGCAGGAGACGGCTGCCTCTCTAGTTGCTCCGCAACTGGACAAGTGTTGCGAATTAGCACATGTGCTAAAACACTCAAACAGTGCATCTGGTTTGTCCAATGTAATTGTGATGTCCACATCAAATAAACAATAAATAAATAAATAAAATATTCGCTCCACAACACCAAGCGTTTTTTTCCTTGTTCTTGTTAGATATTTCTAGATATTTTTCTACTTTTCTTTTTGTCTTTATATATTCTATGGATACTTATAACTTTAAAGCACCCGCAGGAGCCAGGAACCTCACTTTTTCTTGAGAGGAACGACTGGCTCTAACGCTGATGGCACAGGCTGGAATATGACATCATATCCCAGCTGAGCTGAGGAGGCGTTACTGGGGCAACAAGGCTGGCGCTAGGCTGAAGGCTAGGCTATCAGACCGGAGGTGTTTCAAACCATCAATCCCGACGGCAATTATGGGAAACGTAAATGCCTTGCAGAACAAGATGGACAAGCTGTCGGTGCTGATCAACCAGCGTATCTACCGGGAGTGCAGTTTGTTCATCCTCTCGGAATCGTGGCTAACCCAGCTAACACCAGACGTTAACGTGGACCTGCCAAGCTTCGCTACAGTGCGAGCGGACAGAGATACGACAGCATGCGGAAAAAGCAGAGGTGGGGGTCTCATCATGTAAGTTAACAACCACTGGTGTAACTCAAGTCACGTTTTTGTCAAGGTGGTTCTGTGTTGTTGGGATTTAGAACTGTTAGCCGTTAGCCTGCGGCCATATTACTTGCCATGAGAGTTCAGTCACGTGATCGCCATGTTTGTTTACATCCCCAATGCAGCCGCTGCCTGTGAGAAGATTCACACAGTCACAGCAAGGCTGCAGACACGACATCCAGAGGCACTCATCATCATCTCTGGGGGACTTTAATCATGTCACATTGAACTCTGCCTTGCCTGCTTTCCACCAGTTTGTGAACTTCCCCACCAGAAACAACTGGACAATCGACCTCCTGTATGTTAGTGAACAGGATGCATACAGAGCCACCCCCCTCCCCCCACTTGCAAAGTCAGACCACAACCTAGTCTTCCTAAGGCCTCAGTATACCCCTCTGGTCAAAAGACAGCCGGCCACAACATGCTCCATCAGGAGGTGGTCTCCTGACTTGGAGGAGGCCCTGGGTGACGCAGGAGGTCAAAGCTGCACTCAACAGGAAGAAGGTAGCCTTCAGGAACAAAGACAGGGAGGCAATCAGATCAACACAGAGGGAGGTAAAGCTGTGCCTGAAGGAGGCCAAAGACATCTACAGGAGGAAGGTGGAGCAGCAGCTGAGGGACGACAACATGCCAGGGTGTGAAAACCTCTGCACACTGTCATCATCGCCCAGAGGAGCCAACTAAGCAACATGCTGCTCCTCCCCAGGTGCAAAACTAACAAGACCAAAAACTCCTTTGTCCTCCGAGCCATCAAACCGTTCAACTCTGAGCTCGGGGGTAGGGGGATGAGCAGCAAGCAGGGAGAGGTGGGGAGCAAGGGGTGAGGAGTGAGGACATTGGGGTGAGATAGAGCATCATGCTCTATCACCGGACTGTGTGGAATATTTTGGCACTTTGGCAAAGTTTGTTACTGTTGCCATTATTATTATTATTATTATTATTATTATTATTATTATTATTATTATTATTATTATTACTAATGTTGTGTTGGTGTTGTGTTGTTGCTCGTACAACAATTTCCCTGAGGTACCCTACCAAAGGGATCAATAAAGTTCTATCTAATCTATTCTAAATAGACTAAAACATGTAAATAAGTGAATAAATAGTTGAGGTCAATACACACTGGTCACAGTCTGACAATGTTTTTAGTGATAAAAAGACATCTGGGTAATATTTTAATGTGGGGCCCAAAATTGACTGCTGAGTCAGAGATGACTTTTAACTTGTTTTCATGGTTTTAATGCCAGAGCTTGTGGTTGTGAACTGAGCTTGTCTCTCTGAGCTTCAGTTCCAGTGACCAGAACCTCAGTTTTGTCCTGGTGGTGCTGTAAAAAGTTCTCTGCCATCCATGATTTATTGTCTAAAATACAATTAAAAAGGACATCAACTGGACACAGGAGACACGGCGATGTACAGCTGTGTGTCATCAGCATAACTATGGAAACTGATGCCGTGTCTCCTGAGAACGTTTCCAAGCAGTAACATCCATCCATCCATTTTGCTTATCAGGAGTCGGGGGCAGAGGCAGCAGGTGGAGCAGGTCATTCCAGACTTCCCTCCCCCTGGCAACACTTTCCAGCTCTTCCTGGGGGATCCAAAGGTATTCCCAGGCCATCCGAGAGATATAATCCCTCCAGCAGGTTCTGTGTCTACCCCGGGTTCTCCTTCCAGGTAAACGTGTTCGGAAAACCTCCAGAGAAAGCCTCCCCAGAGGCATCCAAATCAGATGTCCAAACCACCTCAAATGGCTCCTTTCAACGTGACGGAGCAGCGGCTCTACTCCAGCTCCCTCCGGATGTCTGAGCTCCTCACCCTATCTCTAAGACTGAGCCCACCCACCCTGTGGAGGAAGCTCATTTTGGCCGCTTGTTTCTGCGATCTCGTTCTTTCAGTCACGACCCAAAGCTCGTGACCATAGGTGAGGGTTGGAACATAGATGAACTGGTAAATCGAGTGCCTCGCCTTCCGGCTCATCTCTGTCTTTACCACGACGGTCCGGTACAGCGCTCTCTTTACTGCTGACGCCACAC